ATATATATGTGTATATTTATATATATATGTATATATATACATATATAGATTATAAGATATAAATTAAATACATAAACATACATAAACTTATATATGTAATTTTATATAAAAGATATAAAATATATACATACATTTTGCTTCTTTAAGTTATCTACAACTAACATTTGTTTTTTAAACACTTGTATCAATTCTGAAAGTTGTTTTCGCAAATGATTAATTGTTAATTTTTTTTCCTCTTGTAAATCTCTAATTTGAATTTTCAATTCCTATGAAATAAAGCAAGAAAAATCTATAAAATTATATTATAATTAATTGTAAAATTGTAAAAATAATATTATGACTAAAAATCTGTAAAATTGTATTATAATTAATATTAAATAATTTTATGAGCTGCACCTTTTCTTCTACTTCAGAATATTTCAGTGCATTCTTAAGTTTATCATTGTTTTCTAAAGATCTGTTTAATCTTATAATGCAACTATTAGATTGGTGATTTGTTATTTTTATTTGCTTCTGAAGTCTATCCAAATCCTGTTAATATGCATAACATAAGTTAAAAATATGCTATAAAATATTAATAAAATGATATATTAAAAATTATATATTTTATTAATATTATATACTTTTTTAAAATTAAATTTTCTACATGTAATGCCTGTGATTGACATTGCATTTCCTTGTTAGTGTTTTCTAATTTTGTGACTGTTTCTTTTAATGATTCTACTTCAGTCTTCAACTTAATTTCAATTTTCTTACTTTCACATTCTAAATTCTTACAAATATCACTCTAAAAAAAGATAGTATAACTGTGTAGAAATCAATTAAAAAAATATTAAATAAATTCTAAATACCTTTCTTTTATATTCAATACGCATTGTTTGCAATTCATTATGTAATATATCTATTTTAGTTTTTAAAAAGTTAAAAACATTTTTATTTGCTAGATTTCTTTGTTTAAAAATATCATCTTCATTATCCTTCTGTAATTCTAATTTTCTAGTATGCATAAAATATAAAAAAATTAAAATATAATATAATAAAATAATAAAAATTATATATAAATATAAATTCAATATTTTAATATTGACTTTTTCTCAAAATTAAATTTAATATATTAATATATAATTTTAATATAAATAATTATTATATTATATTAAATTAATATAATAATTTTAATATATTAAGTTAAAATTAATATATAATTTTTTAATTTTATATATATTAAAATTATATTTATTAAAAATAAATTATTACTCTTCTTTCATACTTACAACTTTGAAGTTGAAAATTGACTGAAAATATGTGGTAACGATGAATTTCGTTTAACCGGAACCTGAAAATTATATTCATTTTGCGTTGTTATATTATTTGAATTTGTTTTTTCTTCAGACACATTTATTTGATGTTTTTTCGAATTAGAAATTGAATATCCATTATTATAAGTGTTAACAACACAATTTATTTTTGTCATTAAATTATATGCCTTCTGTTCAAGTTCTTTATTTAATTGATGAAATCCTTTTTCTTTAGATAATAAATCTTCAGTCATCTTTTAATTATAATAACTATTATGCAAAAAAAATTGTTTTATATCTTGTTTATTATTATATCTTTTTATTATTAAATTCTGTTCAATAATTATGAGTTTTGATAATTCATGAACATATATTCTATTCGATCAAATATTTGTTGTTTTACCAAGTCACTATAGTGCATAGTATGCAAGGAGCGGTAGTTTTTCGTTTTTAAACATATGATAGTTAAATGAAATAAAAACATATTACATTGCATATGTATATTTACAAATTTATTATAAACGAAAATGACGGCACGTTCAATTTTACAAGGTATAATTTTTAAATTAATTTAATTTAACAGTTTTTTAATATAAAAATAAAATAGAATAAAACATTTTTTATATCTTTTTTATATTTGTATTAATAATTTATTATAATAATTCTTATGTCTATATATATTGATAATTCTTTTATGTTTATAGTTTTTGATCAATATCAAAAGGCTCGTCTATTGTTTGTTCAGTCCATTGCTGATTTTGCTTCAAAACCGAACACTATAGAATGTTTAGAAGCTGCTGGTGTTTTGGATCTTTTATGCCCTTTACTAACAGATCTTGTACCATCTATTCAGCATATGGCAGCTGTTGCATTAGGAAAAATTGCAAATAACAATCATAAATTAGCACAAACTATTGTAAGAATGGATATTTTACCTCAATTATTGAAGAATATTGCTAAACAAAATGTATGAATGTAAGCATTTTAGTTGTAGAAAACTATATTTCTTTTTTTTACTATATTTTACTATATTTACTAGATCTAGATTTTACTATATTTTAAAACGTAATAAATAAATTATGAAAACATTGAAACATATTTGTTATAGAAATTTTATAAAAAAGCAGCCCTATTTGTTTTACGTGCAATTGCTAGACATTCCTCTGAATTTGCATCTATGGTGATTCAAAATAATGGATTGGAGACTATAATAATTTGTTTGGAAGATTTTGATTCTGGAGTTAAAGAAGCTGCTGCTTGGGCATTGGGATATATTGCTAGACATAATAAGAATTTAGCTCAAACTACAGTAGATGCAGGTATTTATATAACATCGCATAAATTAATTACATTCTTCTATATAAATTATCTATTTATAGGAGCTGTACCACTTTTGGTTTTGTCCTTGCAAGAACCTGAATTATGTATAAAACAAATTACTGCATCTGTTTTATTTGATATAAGCAAACATTCTACTGATCTTGCAGAAAATGTTGTTGATGCAGGAGCCATTCCTTTTCTTGCAAAGGCACTATCTAATCCTGATACTAAGTTAAAGGTGATATAAGGTACCCCATATAGAGAGAATGATTTTATAACAATATTTTACTTATTAATAATATACAGCGTCAAGTTCTTTTGGCATTAAGTAGTATAGCAAAACATTCTGCACATCTGGCAGAATCTATTATTGAAGCTGAAATTTTTCCTGATGTTCTTGTACATATGGCACATCCTGATGAATGTGTTGTTAAAGCTGCTGCAATGTTAACCAGAGAAATTTGTAAACATACATTAGAAGTAAAAAAATTATATTTTAATATATTTACAATATATTATTCCATTATAATTACATTTTCTTTTAGATGGCCCAACTTATTGTGAATATTGGTGGTATTGGTGCACTTGTCGAATTATTTAGCACTTCAAAATTAACAGTTAGATTACCAGCAATAATGGCAATTGGATATATTGCAGGACATTCAGATCAGTTAGCTATTGCAGTTATAGGATCTAAAGTATGATATTGTTATGATATTAAAAAAATAAAAATAAAAAAAACGAATATTATTATAGGAATTGTTCATTTATCTACAATATTGCATGAAGAAAATGATGATCACACACTTGCGGTTACTGTATGGGCAATTGGTCAAATTGGAAAACATACATCAGAACATGCAAAGGCAGTGGCAGCTGCAAATATTCTTCCAAAACTATTAGAAGTATATTGAAAATGTATTTTTATATTACATTGTTATTAATTGGTCATCATTAATTTTACAATTTATTTTCAGCTTCACAATAATCCAAATAGTTCAGAAGATCTTAAAGCAAAATGTAATATAGCACTGAAACAAATACTACAAAAATGTATGTATATTGAAGCTTTGGAAGCTTTATTATATGATGCGCCACCTAATATTCTAAAATATGTACTTGGGCAATTTAGTAAGGTAAGAAATACAATTAACATCTTGTTTTATATGTAACTGTTTACTTTATACATATTCTTTATAAGTTGTACATAATACTTATAAATTGAAATAAAATATTACAGTAATTGATATATTTCTTAAATTTTTAAATAAAATAAAGTGTTTATTATAATTTATTATTTATTACATGCATATAATGAGATAAATTATATAAATCAATAACAAATTTAACTAAATAGTAAAATTTATTATTGCACAATAATTTAATCGTAATTTTATCCAACAATATGATTACATAATAAATAATGTGTGTATGTGTGTATGTGTGTGAATCATTATCAAGTTATTTGAAATTATTGGAAAATTAATTAAACAGATATAATGCTATATTTTTGTCATATATAAATTATTTAATAATAAAATTTTCATTTTATAACATTATTCTGGATTGATATAATTGAATTTTTCATATTTTCATAATTTTTATGTATTTTATACATTTCAAAATTGCATATTTATTTTAATTTAAATACTTATTTAATTTTAATCATAACATACTATAAAATGTCAATCCTTTTATGAAAAGGATAATAATATCGATATGATAAATGTCATTGCATTTGTCTGATATTTGATTGAAGTGAAAAAATTGATAATTACAAAGATCATTTTATTTATTTTTATTTTTAATACTTATCTATCAATATTATAGCAGATAGTATATTCTGAAAAAGCACATTTCTCAGTCTTAAGATAATAAATAGTTTAACTAAAATATAAAAATCGAATTATTAGATGCTCCTTATATACATATATTTAATCGCAATTTTAAATATTCAAACATATTTTTTTTTAAACTATCGTATTTGCATTTATATTTTTATTATATCATATATTTCTATATAATGGCAGTATTTCATATAAAGAGATCAGTAATATAAAAGTTATAGATATAAATAACAAAATTAAATTTGCATTTCAAAAAAGTTGATCATATTTAAATCGAATTGGATTATTTAGCTTTTTTATATAGATATAAAGTAAAGAAATGTATTATATATGTGATTGGCAGTAATAGTTACTTTCACTTTGTTATAGGTATTTTGCTAATTTTTTACTATTGTAATTTTTTTTCATTTTTATTGAAACATTTTAAAAAAAATTTTGTAATAAAAATTGAAAAAAAAAACAAACAATGAATGCAAATAAAACAAACAATTACAAATAAATCCAAAAAATGAGATTTTCATAAAGCTTCATAAATTCGAAATTCTTCATAAATTCTTAAAAGCATTTATTCAAACTAACTCAAAATTTTTATAAACAAATATATTACAATAATTAAAATTCATTTCACCAAAATTTTTGTTGTATAATAATTTCAAATTGTAAAGCAATTAAGGCATATACTCGGTTTAGAACATGCAATTTATCCAAGTATCTCTGAAAAATGAAGAAAAAAAAACAAAATTATATTATTCTACGATAATTGTACAAATAATATTTCAAAATGATTTGAAAAATTAGTTTTTTACTTTAACAATATGTAAATACTAAAATAATTTATTTTGTAACATAAAATAAAATTTAATTTTTATTATAAAAAGCAAAATATAAAAATAAAATAAATTATATCAAATGATATTTATACTTTAATTATGTCTTGCTTTGTAAAAAATATGATAAATAATAATTTGTGCTATAATTTTTATATCTAAAAGTTACATATAAATTTATTGATATAAATGATTCTTAAATATTCTTTATCAATTAATAATGTTATGAACGAAACATAGATAAATTCATATGTTCTTATTACAAAACATACATAAAATGATGTTAATAAGTACAAATTTATGATCTATATAGTTATCATGGTAAATAAATCCATAATATATGATAGTTGGATGTAATTAAAAGATAAATATTTGCCAAGATAGAATTTTATGTAAGATAAGCTTCTTTTTAAGAAAAAAGTACAAAAATGTATATTTAAAAAATTAATTATATTAATTTTATTTTTATATTAATTAAATTTAGTTCTTTTTTCTCTCTTTTTTTTTACAAAGCAATAACAATAACTTATTTTAACTAATTTTATTATAAAAAATTAGACTTGATCTTCTACTTCATTCATGCAATAAAATCATTCCTTTATTCATCATTGTCATCATTAGGTTTAATACTAGCATAATTGTTCATGTTTCTATTCACCCTTAACATTTTGAGAAAACTGCCTAATACAAGTATGGTCTTTCTATGTCTTCTAAAAATTCCAGCATAAAGTTCTTCACGTACATCTCTTCTGTCACTCACATCAGAATCAATACTTGATACAGAAACAACAGATGGTTTTGCAGAGACCGGCTGATGATAGCTGTTGGTCTCTCCGGAATTAAGAATAACACAATGTTGATTGTTTATCATGTCTATAGTTAATTTTTCACCGTTTTACTTAATGTCTTTATACCAATAATATACAATATATAACATATATTTCAAAATTTTCAACTGTAGAAATTATATAAAGAATACTTTTCATGTAGCTTGTAATATTTGTGTGATTACACTGCACAATTTTAGAACAAGTTAAATTCTTATAAATGACAGACTTTTATGTTAATCATGTCTGAAATATTTGCTAGAAATCTTATGAACAGCATCATTTAATATATGATGTAATTTAGTTTTTGTATACAATGATATCATCTTTTATCAGTTGAATGTTTAAACTTTAAGGCATTTGTCTTATTTTGTTATCTTTTAATTGCAATACTTTAAATCTTGCAATTCAATTTTAATTTTTATTTTTGTTATTTCATTAAATTTTTTTTTTCAATTATTTTATTAGAATCGTGGTATTTAGAATATTTATTAATTGATATTTTAAATTTTTTTTCAAAAATTCCAAGAATTTTTTTTTCCAATATACATAAATTATTTAAGATTGTTAAATTTTATTAAAAAATTTATATTTTATAATAAAAAAGATAAATTGTTTAAGATTAAAAACTTGAAAATAATTATGAAAAAAATGCTCTTAAATTTTCTTCCGTTTCCTTTTAGCGGTCGATTTTTGGTACCATAGTGAAGCTGAAAAAATTTAATAATTCATATTGTATTATATACAATAATACTATTTATAATGACAAAAAATTTATTAAAGTTTGTGATAGACATATTATTTCATAATTTTATTCTGGAATTTTGTATTTTAAAATCATATTTTTAATGATAACAAAAATGGAAAATGTGGACAATTTTGATTTTCATTATAATATATTGCGAGCGATGTTTAAAAACGAAATAATAATAAAAATCGTAGTATTTCTTACTTATTAAATAAATTGCTTAAGCATATACATAAAACGCATGTGATATTTTACGTAAAAAGAATTTTTATTTGTTATATGCTTTAATCTCATAATTTGTACTCTTTATAATATAGATATTAAAAATTACAGATAAATTAAAACACAACTTGAATTAAATATTGAATTGAATATAAAGAATAATTTTAAGATTTCAAATATTTTATAATTAATTTTAATATTTTTTGTCTCTTTTATTAAATTTTTTACAAAATTAAAAACATAATATAATATAATATATATATAATATATCAAAAAAAAAATATTTTTAATAATTTGAATTTATTGTAAAATTAAATTAAATTTATTTTAGATAATTGCATTTAAACAGTGTGTAGATTAAGATTCAAAAATTTTATTATTTTTTAGATTCATATTAATCATATAAATTATATAATATTAATAATATAAATTCATATCAAATTAATAACTAATAATGTTTCTCCTACTGATTATTTATATATATAGCTAATAAAATATTAACATAAGAAAATAATCAATAATAAGGAATAATCAAAACATTTATTATTTTAATATATAGATTTTGCCTCATGATGCCAGAGCAAGAAGATTATTTGTCACATCTGGTGGTTTAAAGAAAGTACAAGAAATCCAGACTGATCCTGGTTCAACACTTTTTGAATATATACAAATTATAAATTGCTGTTTTCCAGAAGAAATTATCAGGTTGTACATAATTTTTATATTTCTTTTAAAGATTATTTGAATTAGAAATAATTTTACATTTATGAAAATTATAAAAATTTTGTTTTATATTAATATTTGATTAATACTTTATATTCTTAAAATTTCATTAAATAATTGTTATTATTTTAATGAATATGAAATACATTTATTAAATAATAATTTATAATAATCTACGATATTGCTAGAGAAAACTATATTTTATTTTTATTAAATTATGTCATTTCTCAATATAACATATTTAATAGTTTAGATATCATTTTATTCAAACAATTGCTTTTTTAATATTTAAAATTGAATTATTTTATTCATCAAAATATTAAATTATTAATGTAAAGAATTATATGTATATAAAAATAACAAAAGTATATAATTATATAAAAGAAAAAGAAACACTAGTTGCTTTTGACATAACCCTTAATGACTTACTTGCTGAGGAAAATTTGGAAACACAAGTTTTTATTAATAAAAAAAATAATCTTCTTAATAGTCGTTTATACGAACAATGAATGCAAATAACTGCAACTCTGTTTTTAAATTGTGTGTCTTAATTTAAATCGGACAAGTACATAATATAAGGCGTAACCGCCATATTGTCATAACTGATTGCATTGGAAAAATATAAACTTGGATTTTAATGGATCAATAATTTTACATGAACTTGATAATTTATATAATCGCTATAGTATAAATTATAATGATCTTATATTTATTATTAATAGTTTGATATAATGTTTGATCAAACTTATATATACAAAATATTTATAAATTTATTAATGTTTTAAATTTGAATTTTTGTATCAATTTATAAATAATTTATATTTATAGATAGGATGAATTATTTATATTTAGTAATCACTATTCATTTTCATATATATTTTAATTATTCTCTCTCTCTCTCTCTCTCTCTCTCTCTCTCTCTTATATATATAT